TATATATATATATATATTCAGTTGATCAGTTTTAGGGCAGTTTATCGGTCTTTCGTCTCCAATAATACATTCGTTCAAGTGCTTGCGTTATTCTTCTATCGCGTTCTAGTTGGATGTGTCTATTGAATTGTGCCGTTTACCGTTTTTTGTGTTCTGTTTCTGATACTGACTGCAGGATAACGTTGGTTTCTTTATTGATGCTTCATTATTATCATTGTTGTCATTATTGTTATTATTATTATTACCAAGTTTTGTTGTTAAGTGCATCAATTTTCATTTTGTCAAGTTGGTGTACATATATGCATATATGTTCATATTTCCTTGATAAGAGGTGACGTATATTCTGTTTTTTGTTTGTTTTTATCTCTTTTGTAGTATCGTTATTGTTGATAACGAATATCATTGATATTTTAAGTGTATGCAGCTGAAAAACTGACTTCTGCATGAGTTTCGTCATTTCACCAAATCAGTGAGTGGCAACTGAGAGAGAGAGAATGACAGTTGAATATTCATCCGTCTTCATCGAATTTGTTTATTCGTTTTGAGCTATTATTGGGATTCGGAACACGTTATTGACATAAGTTATGCACATTCGCTCGTATAAAATATACAAATATACAGACTCATAAAATATACAATCTCTTAAATGAACAGGTTCGAATAGAGCTTTCTTTTGCCAGAAGAAGGTGATTCATCAGAAATAATAATTTATAATAAAGTAGAAGGTAAAAAATGATTTACTCCTTCAAGACTGTCGCCTCTTCTGCAATTTCTTCATCTGCTGATGTATTGTTTCCAATTTTCTTGCTCTTTCTTCTTTTTCATTCGAACTCCGTTCAACCTTATAGCATTTCATCTTTTCATTCAGTGTTTGATCATAAAATGTCGAAACGTTGAAGGGGGTCGAGCGGTAAGAAAATTTTGGAAACAGAATAAATGAGCGGAAGAATGTGCTTAAGGGATGAATGCTGTAGAAAGCTGACTTATCTTTACAAGTAGATGAGTACTGACGTTTGGTCCACTATATTGTACTGAACCACAAATTATGTTTCTTGAAGTGCATAAGTCGAAATCGTTTCGTAAAAATATTGATTACAAAGTGGCTGTTAATAAGAAGAATTTCTTAATGATTAGTGGTGATGTGGTTTACCTTCACTAAGGCGTCTTTCAATATTCCATTCTACTTTCCCGTTGCTCCTATTCCTCGCTGTTTTCATTTTGTTATACGCTTTTGAAGTGTGCACTGTGACGGTGAATTAATTCATCAAGAAACAGTTAACAGATATCCACTTTTCGTGTTATTGCATCTTCGGAGTATTCAGCCAACAGAAATATAATATGAGATAGGTAGCAGGTGTACGTGTGTTTGTTTGTTATTTATTCGTTATTGGTTTATTTATTGTTAATATGAGATGTGTGTACGTGCAATTTGAATGCGTTGTGGAACAGAGTTAGAAGCGGTGCTCGAAATATGCAACATTTTGAGATGAATTTATCCAATCTTTTCGCAGTTATCGTAAACATGAATGATCACTGCATGCATGGTGGTTGTTTTGGTTCCATTTCTGCGACCATATCAGCATAAAATTCCGACTTTAGATCTAGACAGTCGTCTGATTTGTGGAGTTTTCGTTTATGTGACGATGATGGTAAAAAATGGAGAACCGTGCTCGTTAATTGATTTATTTTTTATCGCCTTTTGTTTCAGACGTATCACATTTGCACAAACAGTCGATTAGTCAGTTGTCTGCACCAAATACTCATTAATTTTGTTCTTTTATTTTGGAAGTGCTTTGCATCGATCGCATTCCTGCGACACGTTGTTATTTATACATATTCGATGTGAAAATATCGGATGCAGATATATTTGTACCAGATATAAAATTTCGAATTGCTTGCATTCGTTGTCTGACCCTGTGGTTGCAAATGCTCATCTTTATTAGCTGAATTGAAATGATGCACATGTGAAGGTTTGCGACCGGACAATCTGCCTAAAGACGTTTTGACTAATGACAGTTTGCCTAACGGACAGTTTGCCTAACGGACCATTCGCCTAATGGACAGTTTGTCTAACGGACGGTTCGCCTAGTGGACGTATCAGATTGTTAGGCGCAACCGTTCAGGACATGTTGGGAATGTTCATCTCGTGGCTATTATTAGAACTTTTGATGACTTCAGTCAAAGTCAAGTTTGGACCAATGAAGTTACCAAGAGCTAACAACGCGTCTACTTTATCTTCATCACCGGTGATGGACACTTTGCTTCAGCAGTCTCCTTCAAGCAACTATGTTTAGATGCATACACATCACATTTCCCATAACAATAAAAGATGATATTTATGATTAATTATGCATGTCTGAATACATGAAATTAGATAAAATGCTGATGATAGCTACGTTCATAACAGTAACAACGTATGATAACTAACAACACCTATAATAACAACAAAAGTAGCTATAAAATAATTGGAAAAACAATAAAAATGGTAATACCAACAGTAAAAACAATAAAGGTAGTAACAATAATAACGATAATATTGACAGCAATAGCAGTAATGACAATAACAGTATCAATGACAATATTAAAGGGAACAACAATGAACCATCAGAATCACCAACTTCGATATGTAGAGGTGTTCTGATAATAGCCACGAGATGAACATTCCCATGTTCCGAACGGTTGCGTCTAACAATCTGACACGCCCATTAGGCAACCCCATTAGGCAAACTGTCCGTTCGGCGAACTGTCCGTTAGGCAAACTGTCCGTTCGGCGAACTGTCCGTTAGGCAAACTGTCCGCTAGGCAAACTGTCATTAGACAAAATGTCTTTAGGCAGATTGTCCGGGTACCGTGAAGGCTAATGCCTTATCGTCCTCTTTGTATACTACACACAAATTATATTATGCGTATGCAGTGTAAATCTTGTTAACTTTACGCTTTTTGGAATTAGACGTAGGTTGAGAATAGGTTTTGAAGCACCGATGGCTTAAGGTATGGTGATGATTCACCTCGATGCTTGAAGGCACATGAAAGAATGTTATTATTTGGTGACACTTCACTTTAGCTAAAAAGTGTTTTTGCTTACTTCAGTCATCAGCTGATCATCGAGTGAAAGTGAATGCTCTCTCATGAAAGAACTAATTGAATTTCTTCACCCGTCCTCAAAAAAATTCTGCTCAAATAACATCTCGACGAACTGTTTGAGCGTCGAACGAATCGCTTCAAGTGGTTATCCAACAGTCACATATAAACATATGTGAGAAGTGCATGTTCCTTAGGAGTTGACTGATAAAGATGAATTTTGATTGGGAATCAAATAGGAAACGGACGAATATTTCCCTGATAGCTGATTGAATCCAATGACAGATAATTTATGTGAATTTTTAAGATATGAAGAAAGAATGGAATTTGAAGAAAAACTACTCTGATTGTTATGCCTATCAATATCATAAACAAGTAATTCACGACTTACGACAAAGAATTTCAAAAAAATATCCTTGTCAAAAGCGGGAATCTTACTCAACAAAACAATTTCGAGATATTAATAGTGAAATTTCAGCCGTTTAGAGTGAGTTTATAAGTGATTTTAACACAATGATATCCATAAGCATGTAGATACGGTGAAACCGTATTGTTTCAACAAGTCGTAGTGATACTTAAGTACCATCGTAATGCTGTTCTGCAGTTAGTGGAGAGATGTATTTGCCTGTATACGATACTCACTTGTTGAAACGTCAGGAACAAACGGAAAATCGGTCCGGAATTTCCTCAGTGACGTGAAAGAAATTAATTTTCTGGAATGAAAGAAGCATTTTTAGAGCTTTATTTATCCATTGCAGAAACAATATCAACCTCGGCCATCAACAACGAAATGCAATTTTAAAAAATATTCTTCGGCGGTTAAAAATGAAATTCAACAACAAGTTCAATTATTCATGAAGAAGGAAGATGCAATGGACATTTGAGAAGTTATCTTCCAGATGAACGGAAAAGCAATCATTCTGTCGAAGTGATGGTTAATGAATAAGTAGGGGGGAGGGGGGGAGGAGAATTAATGAAGGTCTTCCAAACCATCGAAGGTGTAAACGCGCTTCCAAGCGTAAGAAGCACTGTCTTAAAGACTTATTAGAATTGCCTTTTTCATGTGCCATTCAAGTAGCGTCATACGTTGCTCAGAAAGATATTACTGTTGAGCAGTTAGTTCTACAGAAAACACAGTTACTTATGAAGTATAGAAGTGTGAAGAAGGGCACTTACCACACTTCGCACTTCATAAGTTCATAACTTTGATCAGATTTGACTTACGACGAAACCATTAGTCTCATAAGTCAGCACTTGCCTGCATTTTGAATAAGATGGTCACTTAAAAGAAACTCATCGAGCGTATCCTATTTTCGTCCACTAAAACAACAGTTAATGATTATTCGTTCAGTAAACAACTAATCACACCATTCCCTGATGCGAAAACTTTTGTGAATGAATCGTTCCGTGATACGACAACTTTTATGGCAGAACGTTAAGCGTCAAAAGAGGTAATTGGGACATTTATTTTTAGAATAAACTTTTCTTCCCTGGATTAAAACTGTTGTGTCGTGAAATTTCGTTCAAAATAAAGTCAGCTGGATGTGATGATAAGAGTGTATTTCACGTATTGCTGCACAGCACATTTAACACATAATTCACTTTCATTTATTAACAGAATCTTATACGATTTCATGTCGTTGTTTATACGAAGAAATTTCAATCAATTTGAGCAATCTCGAAAAAATAAACAGCAATCAACAGTCAATTACAGTAACTGTTTTAGCGATTCGTACAAAAAATATCTCTTAAAATGATTTCTGACGAAAATAACAAAAAACTTTGAAGACCAGTCGAAGTTGCCGGTGAAAAGTGTTCACGCGTAATCGCAATGACAGTTGGAATTCATACCGTAATCTTTCGACTCATTATGTAGCCCATTCATCATTACGAATATGCGTCCTGTTGTAGAGCGATTGAATAAATCTCATTAAAGAAACCCTCCTTAATATGGTGATCTTCAATTAACCGGAAGTGATAAAATTTTGATTTTGAAACCATGGTTTCCTTAGTCACCGGGATGTTTCATAATGATTATACGAGGAGCTTTTAACTGATAAATGCAGTGGAGCAATGCTATGAAGAAAAACTGAAGAGATTATCAAAAGAATATTGAGCAGTCAGTCAGGAAAAATGGATTCCTATTGAGGTTGGCCGATCGACAAATGAACTTGTAATTGGTACCACCATTGCTGTCCCAGAACACCGAACCGGCGCATTCATAACGAATACAAAAGCATACCCGCATATCTAGACACAAATAAGGCAAGAATATGCAGAATGAAAATTGATCTTGATTTTTGCAAGGCGATCTGAAACCAATTAATTATTTTTTCATTTATCTCTTCAGAACACTTACAATTAGACAGAACAAAAAAGAAGCATTAAATTTTCAAATGTTGTTCTCAAGACAAATGTTATTATTCCGCTAATTTTTACGAATTGCTTGCTTACCCGGAATAAGAACCAGTTGTGATGTTCGAAGTAGCCCAGTCATCGTAGGTGTATTTTATTTCAACCTGGAATTCAGTGGATTTGCAACAACCAAGTTGGAGAACATTCGGGAAATGTGTAAACAGCTATGGATTTATAATGCGAAAATATGTGAATGCAAAAATTGCGAGTAATGGTTGCGAGTCAAGTGGAGGTTAACGCGAAACAGAGAGAATTTGAAGCTTTCATGACTTTCTATTCGAAGCAACGACAAAATGAGCAATCACCTTTTTTTCAAATTCAATATTCGAAACTCGAACAACTCCTGTAATCGCACGTCCAAACCAACGGATACTCTCTAAATGAACACATTGCGATGAGATCAGCCAACGCAGTTCGTCTTCGGTCGGCAACCAAAACTGCTTTTCAAGTTGTAATTCTGGTGCTTAAATATTATACCAAACAAGTACAACACGTCAGTCCACAAAAACGAGATCTTTTATTGTCAAGGAGCAGTCGTTTGTTCGAATAATTTGCTAAATTTTGAAATATTCCTAACTTCTTGTGTAATATTGAGCACGAAGCAGTATTGAATTTGCATATCAGTGCAAATAAATCGATGCGATGAAATCAAAGAAATTCGCTAAAATTATTTTTAATGACTATAGTCTCACAAATTGTGTAGTTGCTGAAAAGTAAAACTTTTGTATATGTTTCAGTGGGTACTGAATTTAGTTTTCTAAACGAAACAATTTAATTTTCAAACAAAAAAGCTGAAGACGAAAGAGGACGGACGTGGATTGTAGACTTCACAGGTAGATGTTTGCCTTTCATCGTAAACCACGTTACATTCTCCAGAAGATTCACCGAACTGATGGTATTGAGTTTGTTCAAGATCAACATAATCCAAGAATCGAACATTTTTCTTATTCTTCGCGCCTTTTCTTGTTGGTGATGATCGCTCACTTTTGCTTCGAAGTCTGACGAAAAACAGATCATTCATAAAATCATGAAAATTTTGATACGAAATACTTTTCAATCCTTCGATTCATCAGTCATAATGAATGATCTCTTTCCTCTTTTTAGAACTGCGTCAATATTCCAAAAATGTGCTAAATGTTGACAAAAAATCAAAATGGACGGTTTCTTACGTTTTGGTTTTAAATAAAGTATGGGTTGAGTTCGGTCAACACTCACTCGCATAGGCATGAATGGATAGTAATTCATTCACGAAATTTTATTTGCAGTTCTAAGAGGATTCATCAAAGACATTGTAAAGATCGATTATGCTAGTCTTGATTGCAATTTCAAGTCTTTGATCAGTTATCATATTCTGATTAATAAATTCACACGAATATTACCAACACTATCAACATAAGAATATGATGAATTAAATTTTTGATTTAAGATTAAGCGAGTACAGCTTCAGGCATCAAAACGAGTATAAAAATAATCGATAGCGATCTCTTCAAACGGTTCAAAAGATTATTCCAGTTTCCTGTAACTGTACTATTTAACAAGTTCTGTTGACCTATGGATCAACTAACAATTGTTGAACAATGTAATTGTTGCGAGAATTTGAAATGTTTAGTTTGTAAAAATTCCATAAAAAGATTGCATTGATGCGAAAGAGAAATGAACTGAAGTTGCAGTAATTATTGTAAGAGACTATCACATTTCAAGAAATGACCGTAAACCAAAAAAACTTACATTCCACGCGTTCTCGGTGGAGCATTTAAAGGCATATTAATTTATGAGGATGAGTACAAACGTCTTCGAATAGTGTTCATTTCATTCTTTTATGGAAATAACTGACTGTTGTCTGATTACGGTTTTTATTGATACAGCTGATTTTGTATCAACGATCTGTTACTACTGAGAGATCAGTCGTTGAATTGTTCACGATTGCTTTCAGTATAATACTTTTTCATAAGCCGAATTTCAGTGGCACAACGAATCATTCATAGAAGTAATTCTTTTTCAACGCACTTCTTACCACAACTGTTCTGAAATGATTTAAGCTATACATGTATTAATGAATCGAGTATTTTACTTCACCATTCACATGGATTTAATTTCGAGTAAATGACCAGTGATAGAAATGAATGAGAACACAATAACGAAGCAATCCTCATTAGCCAGAAATATGCATGATTTAAAATTAGCACAAAAAGTATTTCTCGATGTATAATATCAACTTCAATTTCTCATGATCGATTGTTTGCAAATACATTTCGATCGAAACGCAATACAACCTATAACGTCTATGTATAGAATCATCCAAAACCCTAGTTGAGTTTCAATGATGTAGGAAAGGATCACAATAAATGTGCTATCTAATTTTGTAATTGTTGGTAAGTTATGAGGCAACGCAAGAGCTAGTTACACTAATTTAATAGATCAGTGGAGAGCCTAAAAATAACTGCGGGCATTTTGGAACATTTGTACTCGTTTGCTTCGGTAGTGACCCAAAAGTTGGATTCAAAGAAGTGATTGAAAAGTTTATGCCGAAATTGAATTCTTGAATCATCGCTGATATTTGAATAGATGAATTGAAAGGAAATAATCGCCTCATTTCAAAAACACAATTATTTCCGTATTATGTAAATAGCACAATGAGCATTGTGATGATTTTTTTGGTGATTTTCCGCTTGATTCTGGAATACAAGATAAGATAACTGATTGCGTCTTCATGAATTTGAGACATTCTTCTGTCAAGTTAACTAAAAGATGTAACGTATACACTATCAGAGCAATCATATCTATTCATCGATCAATGTTTCTTTGAATGCATAATATAAACAGATAATAATAAGGGAGATATGATGAAAAAACACGATGATTAGATGAATGCTTAATGAAAATGCAATGAAGAGAGATGAATGCAAGCTGCTGATGAAAGCAGCCTTTATCTCGAACGATATTGATAAAGCAAAACAACTATGCTAACACAATACCTGAGTATGTGTCTAACTTCGATCGAGTCCAATATAACGTGGGTGCCAAGGCGATCAATGAATGGATGAACTAACTGAACAACGTACGCATCGCATAAAATCTCGAGCTTAAGTAACAGTTGTAGCTGCATCCGCATCATCATCATCTCTCAATATCAGCGCATGACTAAAACTCTTACAAAGATCAATTATTGCTATTGTTAACCGCATATACAATAATATACACGGTTTGTTTCGTAATTTGACATCATTTTAAACGATAAGCTGACGTAATTCAAACGTGATGCCATGTGAAGTGAGCTTTTCTGATTGAGCTCTGCGAAAAAGTAATGCAAAAATGAATCTCTTCGGTGAGTGCAGCTGTTTGTTAGATATTGGCCGCACTGCTCACATCATTCCTTGTGAATTCAGTCAACATTTCGTAATTTTCAGATGTCATTCACGGTGAACAACCATCAACTTCTAGGACAACAAAATCGTTAACCTATTTGCTTCACGCCATAAGACCTCTTCATTTTTTCGAGCAATTTTCCTCACCGCCTTGAATCCTTAACCAAACAAGCACTCCTTCCAAACGCTTGATACTCAAATGAATTTAACTGTTTCATGAAGTGGAATCTTTACTTGACTGAAATTTTTATGAAACTTTGATGGCATGCTAATCTAAAACGGCCAAGCTCACTGGATGAAACGAAAAAAAAATTCCACAATGATGTTACGATGACGAAGATGAGTGTGGGATTCTTGAAGCGTGTATAAACGAAAAAGGGATACATGTTCAATATAAGAATAACGCTCGGCTGGTGTTTGATTTGTGATCGATGATACAATTTATGAGTATGGATGTGAGTATACGTTTTTAAACGTTGATACAGTGCAGGAATGAATGTATCCGTTCGTCTTGTTGCGTTTACAGCTGGATTGAGTGATGATGATAAACACAACGAACGCAACAAATTGTTTTGATGTATTATTAATTCAGTATTCGTGCTCCTCTAAAGATTGTTTTCTTCTAATTAATTATCATCATTCCTTCATTTATTCTCTTCTTCTGCGCTTCATGTAATACTACGTTCACAACAATCATTCACCGCAAATCGCACTTATTTCGTTGACGATGGTGTTCTTGGTCAGCTACTTATGAACAGAATGTATGCAAGTTTTCCTGTCAGAAAAACATCACACACAAGAATATGAAATGATTTATTGAAATCCTACAAAATCCTGAACGAAACAGTAATTTGACGCACGGTTCATCTTTCGTGTGCAATTGTTAAAACAAACATATACTCCAAATTTGAAACAATATTCGTCCAAACTGTAGCAGATTTCTAAAAACATTGTAGTGTCATCAATTGTAGCCATATCATGAATTCAGTTGTTGATGAATTGGACCGCCAAATGAAACTGTCCAGTGAATAACGCCGAAAATGAAGCGTTTCTTCAAGACTTTTGACTGCAAAAATGGAACTGCACGAAAACCTTTGCAATATACAGTTACTTGCAGTTTTATAGCAAAACACTCTTCAAGACTGCTATGTATTTATTAGGCGCGGAAAATGAAAAATGTTCAAAGATTGGTGGGTCTCTGCATAGCATAGCTACGTCACATCTCATCCTGTTTTTGGCAGTTTCGCTTCAAAAATAGCAACTGATCATTTTGTGACGTTCAGAACGCACAAGTAAGAGAACAGATGTAAATGTGAATAACTGTTTAAAATTTCAATATGCATCCTAATTGGAGAACTTAAGCCCTGCATCTACTGAACAAGTCCCATCTCCAGAAATAACAACGTTTCCAAATTAAGGAAAAAAACAAAGCAAATAAATGAACAAGTAAACAAACAAATGATAATAGACACAGGAATAAAAACAACGCGACCACATTAATAACCGTAACTCGTATACAATATAATGAGGAAGATTGTAATCGCATTCGTGAGATCCTCAACGAAGCGCATAAAGCAGTGGTCGAATCCACAGACAGAACATGCTTACTTTTGAGTAGAATTATAATTCCCTGCTACAATTTATGGAAACATTTGTGTTGGGGTCAAAGAAAAGGTTTGAATAACAACATAGATGAGAAATTAGAATGAATAAAATGAAAGTGATGAATCAAAATAATAATTCGACCAAATGCTTATCAAACCAATCCGTGACAGTATCGTGAAAGTTTTCAATGCAAACTATTAACGATGAAACTGTTAACAAAACGTTAATCAACAAAAACCCAAGAAAACTAATGACGATGGATGGAAGGAGGTCCACAAAATCGTCAAATTACATTTCAACAAACTGATGAAAAACAATTAGGAGTTGGCATTTCAGATAATCATATGCAAAAATATATTTGCACGATGAACGGAGACTCTCTCCTCCCCCCCTTCATAAAAACATAGTTCGATGCATATTTCGTCGCCTAGAACATTTGTCACCCAGCATCTCATTTTAAAAAAACTATGATAATTACATCACTTATTTATTTTTTGTACATTGTTATGCTCCTGTCAGGAAAATTTAGCTGCAAATGAACATAATTTATTCTTGTGGTTTCAGCACATGAACATATTCAAATCGAGTCCCTTTTCATAATTTATCACTTTCCAGTCCTTTGACGATCCTTTTGTTTCTATTATCTCCGTTACCTGATCCATGAAGCCATTCAATGAACCAGTACTTGTACAAGTATGAACAAAAATAATTGAAGCATTTATGATGAATGCGAACGGTTCACGAGGGAAATGTGGGGGCCAAACCTTTTGTAAATTAATGAATAATATTAGGTTTGCATGAGATCACTGACATCAATTTTAGGATGTTTGCCCCGTTTCATATAGGCATCTAACTCTTTATCCAACTGTTCACGGCTAATTGGCTGACGTTTTGGAAACGTCAACCCAGCACGACCTCGTCCACGAACTCCTCTTACGCCTCTCGGTGCTCCACTTTTAGCATACTGATCAGACTTGAAAGAAGTGTTGTTGAAACCGATCTGTTTAGGACGTATATCCTTCAGTGGACGTGACATCAAAAAGGTATTCGATCTGAAAAAATCGAAGGACATTGGAACTTTTGCAGTTACCGAAAATTCTCACAATTTCAGACTGCATTTTTTAAATAACGCATAAAGTATTCACTGATGATAATCGAGAAAGAGCAATAGCAAATGCTGATATCTCTAACGAGAATAAATGCATTCTTTTAAAATGACCACGTGTAAATGAAGTATGATTGCAGCCATATTGATAAGAACAAAACTCAGCACATATAGACAACAAACCCCACCTGCTATAAGCTCCTCTTCGCAGAAAACCACGTGCAGATGTAAATGAGGGATAGTTGCGCCTGGTTGGAAACTTAATGCGATCACGAAGGTTAAGAGGCATAAGAGGTCGCCAGTAGGAACGAACTGGACGGGATATAGACAGTGGGGTACGTGCGGTGTAACGAGGTACAAATCGAAAATTTGAAAACTCCTCTTCATCCATCGCTGTGCCGTTCTGAAAGAAAATTTGTGGTTCAGTTAAGAGAAAAGATGAACAGGATATCTCAAAATTGATGAGAATATTCCTCATTAGGTCTCATATTTGAAAGACGAAACTGCTATGAATAATCTTTGATCAGTTTTCCTCATAAAATTATGTTTTTTGAATTGGACTCATTTGCCCTTTAGGTTTTCCAAATCCAGAACTAATTCTTCAATTACGCTATAAAATTATACTCCAACAAAAATACAATGAATAACCTTGTAATCGAGATCTGATGAATATTCGACATCATCCGAGTCTCGATAATCATGATCTGCACTCCGGTAGCCGACTGGCGAAACTTTTATGGTATGACGGCACAAGCTTTTGGGCAATTTAGAGAACCTGAATTTCGAAAGACAGAATCACATATTATTAATGATGAAAGAATGAATCACATAATAAGAGAAAGAAGCGATAATAAAGATCGATAATAATGCAGACACTCTGCGAGGTTCAAGCAAGTTCATTCAAAAAATCAACTAATGAATATACAAGTTATAAATCCGTGGAGAACAACAAACAGATGACTGAATAAGTATAACGAAAAAACCTTTCGTCGAGCGTTATTTTTGAAGTGCCCATTAAGATGATTCTTGCTGGAATCGGCACATCCATCAATGGCAGGTTTTCAGTGAAAATAAATTTCGAAACGAGCTATCTGGTAGCCCTTCAAAACCTTCAATTAAAATTTCTTGAAGTGATGAGCTTACGAAATGACTAAACAGAAACTGTTGAAAATCTTTTAAAATCGAAACTATCCAACAGACCGAACGCACTCAGAGCACCGATACGAATCCATAAATGCCTTTCCTTTTGCAATCAGATTTTTGATTGCAGTACTCGTTACTCTCAAATTTTGCTGATTTCTTGCTTCCGTTTAAATTGCACATGAAAAACCATATATGGCAACAGAAAATGACATGCAACGCGAGATAAACACCTAGGATAAAAGTTGGCAGGATTTGTTTCATAGCTACGTTGAAGAACTGGTATTGAGACACTTCGCCAACAGTGACACTCCGCCAAGTGTTACTTGAATTGGTAAGTATTTAGAAATACCCTTTTGAGGGAAATAATACGGGCGAATGATGAGTCATTTCGTAGCGCAGATCCACGGCACTGAAGTGCACGATTTAAATATGGCTTCGACCAAGGAATAGTGTTTAGCTGGAATAATGATTGAATAAATAATCGAAATTCTTACCAAACCTGGAGAAATAATCCATGGTCAAGGTGTATGCCAATACTGCGCAATTTCCAAAATATTTTTGGAACTTGGTCAGTATTGGCATACACCTTGCCCATGAATTATTTCTCTAGGTTGGGCAAGAATTTGTCTGGAAATGTCAACAAACTGCCTACATCATTAATATCCCACATGTTATCTTTGCAGTTCGAATTTTCCATGTTCACTTCATTTTTTATCACTTGCGACAATTAAATCTCGTGCAGTAAAGGATTCTGAATCTGTCTGAGGACTCTGTGAGTGACTCACAGCTATATGCTAATGTAAGTATTTCTGAAAATATTTTTATTCCACACCTTTCATGTCACTGAGTTTAACGCCATATCTCCATTATGTCCACTACATGTAAACTGAAAGTGGAATAGGCAAACTTTTTTTTATAAAATGTTCAAATGGTTTTTAGATATGTAGTAGGTACTGATAATATTTCATACAACTATAACCGCCCTGGATAATGTTATATCTATAACGCAACTGAATTCAGGATTGTTTGTAATGCAAACAAGGTCACAGGCAGGGAACACCTCATACTAGAATTAGGCTATTTAATATGTCGAATATGCCGATAATTATCTTTTGTGTACAACACCTGCCGGTCATTGCCTATGATAATGTTTGAGCATAAAATTGCATAAGCAATAATTTTACGAAAAGAAAACAGTTGGATAACATAAATAATTAGGTGGACAGTGACAATGTATATAACTCAACCATTCCAATATCACAATTGCATCAGCATCAGATGTGAAAAATGTCAAGGATGTTCCTGCTTGTACAATATTTCGGCAAAATGTCACAAAACTCATCATTCACCACGCGAATTAGCATAACTCTATCATTTCCAGTCAATGTTCACGTTAGGTTTGGCATCCTTTGAAAATTAGCTACCATATCGCATACACCTCGCCATGAATTATTTCTTTCGGTTGGGTGAGAAGTTCGGTTATTCATTCAATTATTATTCAAGCTAAATAGTCTTCCTTCATTATTCCTCGTACGTGTATTTCAGTCTCGTGGATCTGCGCTACGAAATGATCTACTACTCGCCTTTATTGTTTTCCTCAAACGGATAATAAATTGAACAACCATCAATCAAATTACCACTTCTAACACTTGGCGAAGTGTCGTGCTAGTGGTACTTGGCGAGCCGAGACACTAATTGAAAATTTGAAATAGCACCGTCTTTGCGGGTTTCAAATAAATTTTAAACGCCCTCATTATTAACAACGCAAAAAATATCGAGAAATGTACTACATTTTAAAACACGACTTACAACCACAGTTCGTTCGGAAAAATTGGTCGTAACTTGAGTTGGTTGGAAATCGAAACAACTTCCTCCATAATATATAATCGAAAATTAATCAATCTGTTTCGGCAAACACAGCTCTTCACATTGTAATTTTTTATTGAAAAAATGGAACATTCTGTGAGAAAATCTGCAACTTATGGCAGCGTGTAAAACTTGTACGGGCCTACAAACGTATTCCAATGAATTTTAAACTGGAACTAGTCTCAAGAATACTTGTAGGCTTACTTTGAGGCTTTTGTGCAGACTTGCACTTGCAAGAGGATGGAATTAACTCATGTTTCTCTATCCGAAAATCAACTTTTTTCCCTTGTGTGCACTTCCTGGCACGGCACTTTTGTACAGCAACTCACAATTTAGAAAATTTCGTCGTTCAACGATAATTTGTCTTCATCATGAACAAGCTGGCTGCTTAATAAGGAAATATTCCCTAGCTATCCAAACATATATGCTTCGCCATGTTATTTGCTTGATCGCCCTTAAATGGCACTTGTGTACTTTGAGGGGTCGCACACTCGCGTATAACAACCGAGGCCACGCCTATTGCGCATGGCCTCAGTCTCAGCCTAAGCGTAGCCTCAGCCTTTACGAACGCCCAGCGATCGCTCGATGTTACAAAAAGGACTAGCATGCGAGCTCAGGCTTATGTTTAGGCTGATGAAATCCTCAAAAGTGAAAGATTCTGAGCCTTCTTATATCAGTGTTTGCAAACCACACAGAAGGAGCCCGCATGCCTCAACGAAAATTTCGAAGATTGGATTTTGTTTATCTCACTTGGTTTTCGTGACGTTAGGACGTCCCACAGAAACTTGCTGAAAGCCGATCCAGATCCCACCCCCCACCGCATTGCGAGCTTACGCTTGGAAAAACGAATTGGTATGAGTTGTTATCTAAATTACTGTCAAGAGAGTGATTCTTTCCTGCCAAAAGCGATACTGTGTCGGTAGCACCTTTGTCAGCCGTGTCTCGGTAATCTGCATCATATCAGTCATCAACATAAGCCTAAGCAGAGGCTCTGACAGAACGGTAAAAAAAACGACAAAGGCATGTATTGTGCAAATGACATGGCACATTCAAAGCCCTAGTAAATTCCATCATTTCATGTTGCGTAAAGAATGATGGTTCTCATACTGCTGCTCTTCGTGCCACTCTGCGGCCGTATAGCAGGCCTTCATTCTTCTCTGCAATGATCCACATGACCGCAACATCCCGTCTCCCCTGATAGTTTTGTCTCAATTGTAACTGTTCGCTCACTCCTAGATAATGCCTCTTTCTTCTGATCCTCCTCTGCTCTGTACGGTGACAAACAGGATGTTAATATCAATACACTTTCATATTCAAGAACATTGTGGTAATTTCCGTAATGTACCCGGATATCAGGAGAGACTAACAATATTGGGATTAGAAAGTTTAGAAATGCGAAGATTTTATACAGATCTTTGTGTGGCCTACAACATCATTCAACATCAAGTAGATCTCCCAATGAATGAATTCTTCGAACATTCCTCAAGCATTCAACGAACCCGCCATAATAATTTCTTCAAACTCGCTGTCAAACCTTGCGAACTAAGCACTGCAAAATTCTCATTCGCAAACAAAGTCGTCACAGCCTGGAATCTACTCCCCCAAAAAATTGCCTCCTCCGAATCGCTTCAAATACCTGTCTGAGTATCTTTTGATTTTTGTTGCTATTGTAATCTTTGTTAGCTTAGCCTATCCTGTCCTTTATAACTTTTGGTTTTGCTGTCAAGTACTGTCGTGTTTAATCTTTGCTGTGGCTTATTATCAGTTGTTTAATTCTCCTATCAAAATAAAACTTTGTATTCAATTCGCGTCCGAGTTGCTACAAAAGTATCTTCTGTTCAATCAGCATTTGTATGGCTAAAAAAATCTACCTCATTGCGTTCGCTTCGCTACAGCGCGCGACAAATGGAATCATTACTAACAACGATTGGAATGTTTGTCGCGTTATCGCAACAGATATCAACAAACAACGGCAAACATCGACAAATAACGATAAGCAAAGTTGTCAATAGAAACAACTTTTTGTTCTCTTCAACCGCCGACTTACGATGACAATTGGGATCCGTGTTTGCAAAATTCCGACTTTTGAAGCCCGTTCCCAATTAGGGTTTGCAAAATCCCGACCATCTTCTCAACCCCGGGATCAGGGTTTGATTCCGGGATCGTTTTTCAATCCCGGGATTGAAAAGCAACTTTTGAAATACAGAAGTGTGACTTGTTTAGCACATTCTTTTTGAACCAATGTGTTCATGATTAATCAGAAAGCAATTTATTCAACCAAACTCAACAAAACAAAACAACTGAAACAAAATCATACGGAAAACAAAATCATTTGATCACGCGAATCAGTAGTTGGTACAGGACTAGGTTTGAGGAATTCTGCAATGAAGCAAATGCCCGGAAGGCCACAATAGGCAGGGCTCTTGTGGCCTTCGGAGCATTTGCTTCGTTGCAGGATATTATGTTGTGCTTTGACTTTGAATATAAAAGCAGTCCCTTCTTGGACCACCCTCTACCTTTTTAATTCAATCGCACAGTTTACACTGCGCAGTTTCATTGTCTTTTTGAAAAAGAAACATTCCCAGCACTGAGAAGGACCACTGTTACCGTTATATCTTTTAGTATATCGGAACGAAATTGCACAATTCGAAGACATATTTCGAGTAACAGGGAATTAACGGACTTGGAATACAAGGCAAGTTTGACAACGAAAGATGAACCAACAGTGATCAATATTGTGTGAAGACGAAAGCCGGGGTGGCGATATGCCATAAATCATCTTTTCATTACCATGTGGGTGAAATATAAATGAGCAGGGAATGATTCATGCTTGATTCATGATGGGTGTACTACCAAATTCATACAAAATATCTTGTGTTATGGATCTCGGGATTCATGCTTCCGGAATTCAGGATTCTGAGGATCTCGTACAAACACTAATCCCAATGTTGTTACATATGCTCTAGAAAATTCAGGGATTTCGTGATTTGCCAGTACACTGCGTTTTGTACAATTTCGACAGTATACAGCCCTTAAACACGCTCCGCAAAATGGCTTACAGTAACATTCAAATTCAGGTGTATTCTAATTAACGATTTTCCGACTTCTAATTGACCAATTAACGGAAAGCATTCCAAACCAACGGTTGAACGATGCATATTTAAAAAGTTACTCGCGAAAGTAATAATCTCTTTCTAATGGAATACTTGGCAGTGGCCGTGCAACGTTCTGTTTGCGCACCTTTTCCATTTCAATCGCCCGCATTATCAATGTTTTCTAATTTTAAATTACAGTTTCGAAAACCCTTGCGAGCATTTTCATGACAATTTCTCAGTTGGTAGAGAACTGAATTCATGTAGCTGTGGAATATTTGGCCTTGGCTGTGTAAAATTCTGTTCGGTGCTTTCTCTACCTGAGGCGCATGCAACATCAAGATCTGATGGTGACTGTCGAATTATGTCTTGAGTTCCGTCGAAAACTGAAGTACAATATCCTACTTTACAGAGAATTTGGTTCTCTTGCTTGCCTCTATTAGGAATAGGTTGCGTTATGGCAGGTTCTACTTTTAAGTCTTCACGACTATATTCCGTTTATTTTATGCACATCTGCAAAGCATTTTCCTCTCATTCTCTCACACTTTTATACGCTTGGGCGCGCACGCATATGAAAGTGCTTTTTGGCTTATTTTTCACGAAGCGTTGCCACAGTGTCCCATTGCGAATCAATAAGGTTTATAGGCACGAAGTATTTAAATGGTGCAGCTGGTTTTTGCCAGACCGATATCTTATTCTTCACAATTTCGAATGGAGAGGTTTAATGTGTTTAGAATGAATTATTGCTGTCAATACCTGAGTTTATAGTCAGGTTTTGTGAGGTTAAGTGAGCATCAAATTATTTGTTTCTGACGTTCCCTTATTCACTGTACTTATCTCATGTCGGTGCCAAAAACTTGTTACGTCTTCATGACTGCAGAAAGAATTCAAAAATTTTTAAGCATGCTTTCGTTTATTGTTTGAGTGTCGCATGTGCAACAAATGCAGTTGACATGACTTACATAAACAATTTCAGGTGGTCAATTGTACGACAACAGTGTGTTCATCAACCACTTATATAGCCAGCCATATAAATCTAACCATTACTTCCTTCATTACTGATCTGAATTCAAGTATTAGCATTCACAAGATAAAATTCTCCATCAGTATGACTGATCAGTTATTTATCCCTGTTGATGAGATTGTACATTCTTCATTCATTGAAAAATTGTAAGTATTCGTTTGGTTTCTAAAATTATATGAGAACTATCTGATTTTATAATTCATACTCGAGATCGGCTCACGTGATCTTCATTTTTATCACTTTTTATCTGTCAGTCCAAAAGTGCTTCCTTAATGTAGATGCAAGAATACGGTTGCGTTATAAAAGTTTAAATTTACAGCGTGTTTGAACAATTTCATTTCAACTTTGAAGACTTTTGAGATGTGCATTATTTTCTGCAATAATACAGCAATTGTCTGGGCTTGTCGTTGCAAAGAAAAGTAATTTGACAGCGTTCTAAATGGATCCGAAAGCATAGTACGTTTTGCGGCTGGTAAGAATGTGGTGCTGAGCATTGAATGCAATGAGGAGCTGGGTACACGGGAAAGAGATTCGTCAAGAGTTCATACGCACATACTTTCTGACTATAAATGGGCATCAGAGGAGACGTATAATGGACGAATATTGGCTGTACATCAAAATTTCATCGCTTATCGCCTTTTCAATGCTAATACTGGTGAGGCAGTGAGGGTTCTGGAGAAGGAAACCCGTAATAGACATCTCATTAAGGTTTGTTCATTCGTTGTTTTGTTCAACTTGCTCATTCATCTACTCATTAATTGATGTTTCAAGGTTATATTGACATCCACTCTTCTGAAAATAGTTATGAGAAGCCATTGAATTGAACAAAAAGTTGAATAATTATTAATCGAAGTTGCGTTGACAATCCTTCAACAGATCGAATTTGTTTTTGATTTGACGCAATTGGTCTAACACGTGTTACCTGACATTCGACTCAAGTGTTGATATGAGGTTTTCAAGTAAATTCCCGAATCAAGGTTTTAATTCATTTCAATCAGCTTCACATAATTAGTTGCAAAATTGTTGTCCGAAATTGATTGTTTTGTATTTAGTTGTTAATATTCATCATTCTAGGGTTTCACGCATCCAACGGCTGATCTCCAATGGGCATCGCATGCACCTCTCCTTGCTGTTCTCGATTCAAATGCTAATCTTTATGTGTACCATGTCGATGAAAATTGTGTTGTGTATGCTCTTTCTTGTTTTATTCGTCATTCTTCGCGGGGAAAAAATTTGATTGTTTGAGGATCTGAAAATCTTATCGTTGATTTTGATAGATGTTCGGTGGAATTTGTTGTTGTGGTTAGAGTTTACAATCATTCACAATATCTAATGATATGATGACCAGCGTTCAATTGCGAGCAATTTTCAGCATTACTAGTTCATATTGATGTATGTGTTTAGTTGATAATCAAGAAGCATTGTATGTAATTTTTCATTTAAGAACGAAATATGTGAACGTTATGCGAGCAGAGAATAGCGTGGGCGCTGGTGTGTCGCCTCGCATTTCATGGTGTCCCTATATTCCCGACACAGAAGATCCACATGAAGTGGTGCATATGCTTGCAACTCACTTCGTGAGTGCTCTTCATATTCGTTCAGTCTTTCCACAGCTTTAATAACTCTTCAAATTTCAGTGTTATCTGTTCGCTAGTGAGTGTTGAATGAATAATGCAGATATTCTTCACTTTTACAATATTACATATCACATGGAAATCAATGTAAAGTGAAGTATTTTCAGGGTGAAACTGTTGAACTGATTACGTTAAGTACTGTGAAAACAGAAATTGAAGGCGAGGAAGTGTGTATTGAAAAATTGGTTGATGTGTCAGATGCGCTTATCAAGATACCATCAGAGAACATAATTTCGGTTTGATGATTGATTATGTATCATATCTCCTTGTTATATATTGTTGATGGATAGAAGTAATTGTTCATCAAAAATAATGATTGATTCATGATGCCACACGTAGGTGGTATTCATGTATATTGTATATATTGTCATTCTTCTAATCATTAATGGTGATATTGATGATTATTATTGTTATAGACCGTACGTTCAGTTTGTATAAGTCCAGATGCCACAGCGGTTGCCGTAGCACAGTCATCTGGTTGTGTTTCATTTTTCATTATCGATGGCGTGGCAGCACGTTTTGCACATCAGTGGACACCCGATTCACCGTGGCCGATTGAAGATCTCTTGTTTCTTGATAACATCGACGTTAACTCAGAAACCCCGTATTGTTTTTGCATTCATCGATTCATTCTTCTAAACCGAATTACATTCCATAGTACTTACTAACTGTTCATGTATTGCACTACCAAATAACAGTCCCATTTGATTTGCTAAATTGAAATTGTAAAGCGCTTTCGAGTGGTTAGCAATCGAATCGTTATGGATTTGCGATTGGTTTTAGAGAACAGTTCTGGAAATTTGCGATTGCCGCAAACGATGGTGGTCGTAGATTGGATTTGTATGAAAGTGAGAACTGGAGATGTATTGGTCGACTGAGGTTCGAATCAGCTGATCGACTTTCACGATTCGCAGTTTCAATTGATCCATCTGCAAGATTTTTGTTCCTTGCTGATTACGATGCAGCTGTAAGTAGATTCAGTTGTTTCTGATGCTATATTTAAGTGCATAGTTGTGGTTTGTCGGTTATAGGTCAATCACCTTTAAAGCTTATTTGATTTGTTTATTGTTAATATGTAAGAAAACTGTTAATATGCAAAAAAATTCATTTCGTTCAGAACGTACACTGTGTAGAGTTGGCCTATACTGCTGGTGTACCACACTTTAGTTCGTGCACACAAATCACATTTTGTCATCCATTGGTCAATGTTGTCCCATGTTCAGTTACATCAACTTCTCAATCAGCCGGTTGCTTTTCTTTTTATTAAGAATTCAGTTTTGAATTTTTTAATGATGATTTAGATGTATGTTTTGTATGAATCAAGGGAGATCGTTAACACACGTACAAATTTATCTAAGTGGTTGATAAGTTTTATGATCGGTGCATGTTGAATAGAGCTTAGAGCAACTGAACCGTCTCTTTCAAATCCTTAACAATACTGTCAGTCATCCCATCTACTTAAACTGAATGTCTTGTGGACCTCTTGACGAAATGAAAGTTTTTAAAATATGTTTCTGATTTTTAGAATTCCACTTATCCGAGGGTGTTTTCTAAGAGAAATTAAAAAAAACAGTTAATACTGTATGTGTTTAAACAAGGTAAAGAATATTTGTATTAAAAATACTTTTATTGCCTCTCGAATTGAAACTATCTGTCTATACATGTATTAAATTCATGTTCATATTTGTAGATATATCTTTGGAAGATGAAGAAGTACCACAGTGTAGTGTCGTAGCCAATTTAATAGCTCTATCTCAGCGTTCGCTGTTGCGACTCGAAATCGACTTAGAAACCACCACTTCTGTTGAACAAACGCTTAAAGATAATGCTCAGTCAAAATTACTCACTGTTGCTACTACGAATAGCACTGACAGGTTTCATTCTTTTTGCACTTCTAATACTGGTAATGATCATATCAATAATAATTTGTTTAAATAATGTTTGACTAGAATATCTATAGTTTCTGAATAAATTTATATTATAATCAAGCGCTTATTAAATTTTTTTTCGACTAATGGATAGATTTTAACGCGACGCTAGATATGTTAGTGAGTAAAACGTCTACGCAAGTCAAACATTTGTTTTCATATATTTGTTATTATTTACTATTATATGTTATGTTATTATGTGATCGAAAAATTTCGTTATTGCCAAATTTTTCCGAGCTCAGCGGTGGGTGGCGATACAGAGTTTATGATTAATGCCCTACAAGTGAGGAAGGGATTGGTTGATAAATTCAAATTAAAGGCACAAAGATGCAGATAGTATGGTGCTGCAAGAACGAAGTTCAGAAAAGGAAAGTGAAATGCTGGAAATGATGCAAACACATCTGGAGAACTTGTCAATTCAAGTGCAACGACAGGCTGAAGAAGTTGAGCGACAGCGATGTGACGATCGCGCTCGTACTGATGCGCTTATTCAACAACTTAGTATGAATTCATTAATCAGCATCTTCCTAACGACCTTTCTTCATTCTACCGTTCTACTGTGCGTCGTATAATTCATGTGGAACCCATCGATCCGACTTCTTGACCTTGCCATAAGTGACTTGAGACAGTTTTTTGGATGACACCGAGTTTGTCCGCCATCTGTTCCTGAGTTTGAGTGGGGTCTGACTCCACCACCTCTTTCAGTTCGTTGTTGTTGAGATCTTAAAGGCGACCTGACCTCGGTTCATCTTCGAGACTCATTTTTCTGGCAGCGAATTTCTTGAACTAATCTCGAACTGTTGATTTGGAAGTGATTCCCTCACCAAATGCTTTGTTAATATTAGCCGTCGCCTGTCTGCTCGAACGACCAAGTTTGAACTCATAAAGCATAATTCCACGAATTATTTTCCTTAGAAACCACAGCTTGCATTCAACGCTCCGAAAGTCCCCAAATTAAAAGAATGAGTACTAAGAATGGGTAAATTCAGATAGCGTAGAAAATGAGCTACGACATATAACACCAGATACAACAACTCTACAGTGAAATGCGACGTTCCATATCAGTTTACCAGCGTAACTGCCTGGGAACTGTTTTTTATACCTAATATATAATATGTCTTCATAACGATATTCATGCAATTAGAACACAGCTATTGGATAATAGATATCAAGGTGTTGTATCGAATTTAACATTGTCTTTATGGTTGAATGTTATAGAAGATGAAATGGTTTTACGTGATGAAAGAATGTTGTTGAAGTTTGAATCGCTTATTCAAGAAAGTCGTTCAGCAACAGTGGAAGCAATTCAAACATCACTTGAACTCAAAATGGATGGTGTCGCTGAAACATTCAGAGCATCTACAAGTGTACGTTTTGATTTGATAGTTGCAGTGATAGGTGTGATGTTTACAATAGAATTGTTTTTAAGCAACAAGAAACAGCAGCGGTCAACGACGAATTAATAAAGAATGTGCGTGGTGCAATGATGTCAGTGGTCGTGCCAGCACTAGACAGATTATGTACAAATCTGTTTCAACAACTCAACGAATCGTTTCGAAATGGACTTGAACAGTACATGCGTCAGATTAGATCACTGTCTCTGTCATTGCCACAACAGTCAACCCATCATCATTCAACTGCAGCGCAGCGTTCCATTGTTGCTAATGATGCACCATCATTAATTCAGCTTATTGAAGCTCAGCAGATCGTCACTGCCTTCGAAATGGTTAAAATATTTCTGTTGATTTACTTTTTTTTTTTCAAGAAACGACTTCATCCTTGATTCAGTTCAAATACGATAACTTTATCAGGTTGACGCCGTTCTGAAGTTACATCCACATATTTACATGTATTTACTGAATCTCATTCAAGGCTCTAACCAGGAAAGATTTGTCCTCGCTCATGTTCGTTTGTAATAACGTTGATCCGGACACATTGTTCAGCAGTGATCAGCCGTTACCCCAAGCTGTCCTCCTGTGTATTCTCAATCAGTTAGCTGTTAAATTCGAAGGAGAAACTGATCTGAAATTCAGGTATCATTTTCCGGCCATCACTTTTTCAGATTGTTCATGAATGCATTACTTTGTTTTTTTTTGCATTCGTTGAGCAAGAACATGCGCGTCATTCTTTTTTGATCATTGATACCCGTTCTTGCTTCGTTAAAGTAACAAAGTTATTGCTGACTCAAAGTCATTTTCAAAAAAAAAAATCGAATGGTGAGTAGTCAAAATCACTTCGCAGTCGAATAATTCGAACCATGTACCGCGTAGTGTATGTTCGTCCAAGGTCATATCCGAGAAGGTGTCATAAAAATTGCAATTTTCCATTAGTTTTCGTTTTCCATTTGTTAGGTATGTGGAAAATTGTTTAATGGCGTTACGTATCAAAGATCCGACTGTTTCGGGCAGCTATCGACAAGTGCTTGAGCGCTTACATTCTTCTTTATCAGGTTCGTCATCGATTTTAATTCATTCTGATGATTCGTTCCACTCTCGAAACTAATTTTTTCGCTATAGTTTTTAAATGATGCCTATTCAGTTTGTGCATAAACAACAACAACAACAGCAAAAAAAAAACAGTATTTTAGCGTTTATGTCGCAGGAATCAAATTCGAACTATAAACGTCAATCAAGGATAATATTGCAGTTGATTATGAACATGCTCAAATAAGTAATTGTTTATTGACTTCATTGATTTTCCGATTATTTTTTAGCTGCTGATCGTTATTGTATTCCTGTTGATTCGTTTTGTACCGTTGTTTTTTTCTGTACCTCCACCCCTTCGAGAAGATTCTGTGCTGTCGTAAAAAAGCAGTTTTCTTTAGTGACAGCGTTAGGCATAATACGATGATAGATAATAGTTAAGCTGTTCGTGATTTTTTAAAAACGTAAAAATTGCCCGGATATTGACGGCAATTCATGGAAACATCAAAAGCTCATCACTTCAATCACTGAGTTTGTAATAGAAATCCTCGTATTTACAGATAGCAATAATTGCAGCTTAAAACTTATCATTTCGATAATTGCTATCAATTAATGACTTGCCAATAATTTTCTAATCCATTTAACTACTTTCTTATTCCTATTTTTTCATCGCACTTTACTCGTATTGCCTTTCACATTTTATAATCTTTTGTATCCGCTCTCGTAATCTTTTACATCCACTGTTTCTTTCTTCAATTTGAAGTAGGCTAGTGGAAAAATGTGAATGTTCAAAAAATCGAACAGGCTTCTTAGGCTAACAACTAGGCTCACACGTATGTTTGCCTTAGTCTGATGTTGACGCTTACCTTCAGGCTCCCGCACTTTCATTCAACAATGTTCGACACTTTATTTTGGGAGAGTTTCTTCCAATCAATTCCTTGTATTTTGTTTTCGTCTTAAATCCATCGATTAATCTGGAACTGGATAGATTTCATCGGTGGAGCCTTTACATTTTTGAATAGTGTTCACTACCAGAGTTGAGAATTGAATTTTCGCTGAAATTTCGTGTATTAACTGAAATTTGGCAGAATGTATGAATGAATAAATCCGTTAATTGATTGCGTTTGGTGAGTGGTTAGATCAGATAAATATTTTGTGACCAATCGGCACTTGAATGTTTTCTTCCAGTAGTTATGGTTATTCGCTGGTTAGCATTTCTCTATTACAGAATATATTTCGAGAATGATTGCAAAAGAAATCAGTGCTATTTTTTGTTATCATAATTATTAACAATACGGGATATTGTCGTTCGTTAACTAATTACTTTTTGTTACTAGTATTATGGAATATTGCATCGTTGCTCTTGATGTTATCGATATTTTGTAGATAATCATCTTATAAAAGGTGTTAGATTCTCTTTTTTTTAAATGAAAGCGTATCATTTATTTCTTTTCATTGTTTTGTATGTAGTTGTTGAACATTTGTTGTGATCATTTTGAATGTTTATTTTCTTTTGTCGAGAGAGCCTTTTATCGATGTCGGCTAGTTTCAGAAGTGGCGTTCTTTGTTTTCGTGCCACGAATACGAGAAACTCATCGTGTTTTTTCCGAAATTAATTGGATTTAGTTCAAATTTCCATTTTCAATTTCTCTTCTTATATTTATTTCTGCTGTTCTTTTTTTATATTCCTGGTTCAACTAAGCGTTAATTTTTTAGTATTTGTAAATTGCTAGCGTTGAAAATATGCATGTTGAATAATTGCATTCTCATTTTTACTTAAGATGAATTTCGCCATCAGGTAGTTCATCATCTGCATACGTTCAAAAATATCTCTGCTGCATTAATCATTCGACTCATGTAGTAGTAATGAATTTTCTATCTTTCACCTACTACAACCCGTTTACACTTATTTTGCACATTTCTGTGTAAATTAACTTTAAAGGCACAGCATTAATCAGCTAACCGTTATTGTTCTACCCAACTTCTGTACCTCATCCATAAATTTAGATGTTTTTTTAACCTATCTAAAATAAGTAATCTCTTGTTAAATGATTCATTCTTATGAACTCTTTGTGCATCATTTTAATGCAAATTGACCAAATGTTTCTTACCACTCAGTTGGTATCCTTTAAAATTTACAAGTCAAATGCTCTTCTGTGCTATTCGATTAATCTTTACACCCGTCATTATCGTTGCTCGTTGATTTTTATCGACATTTTCTTGTTTGAAGACTTATTTGTTATTATCCATTAACTTACTGTTCAGTCCAGCATGAAATTCAACATTACCTTTTAATGCTCACTATTCATATCCATCGTTCTATATTCTTTCAAATTTATTAAGTTCCGTCTTATTACATCATTTTTGCAGAACACTTTTTTGTGTTCCTTCATGAACTTATCAACACTATTTTATCCATTGTGTATGGTAACTATTGGTTGATGAGTTTTGGACGCGCGGTTGGTTCTAAGATTGCTCTATTCAATCGTTATGCATTCTAATCGTTGTTGATTGATAATATTCGAATTGAAAGTAATCCTTCGCGTGCCCGCCCAGTTAGCGGGGTAGTGTAATAATTCGGCTATACAACGTGCGAAGGAAGGGGACATCTCCCCCGATGTGTACTCTAGGCAACCGTGCCAGGAGATAGGGAGAAACACCGTCAAATGGTAGGGCCTCTTATAGGAAAGGAAAGCGAAGGATGGAAAAATCTCGAGAGCACGTTGTGATCGCCAATATAATAGTTCTGATTGGTCGATCAAAAAAATATATGATAATTAAGCCGAATCAACAATCTTGTAACATTGTGCTAATATTTTGTTCAATCATCACTCAGAGTTGTGATTCGTTCTCCTCCGTTTCCTTGATTATGTTGCACAAATGTCGATTAAGAATGAATTGTTTGCAATGCTTCTGAACTATGCGCACAATTTTGTGTGCTTCGCAAGACAGATATCAGAAAGCCAGTCATAACAGCGAATGACTGGTATGCTGAATGTAAATGAAATGCAGTCATATTGAAGTCATTTATGTTGAAAGAATTATTTATTTTTGATGATATGTATGGAATTTTGAACGTTTATTATTTGCAGATATAAAAATATGATCGTCGCTGTTATTGATGTATGTATATTTCTTAAGGAATTATTTGGATTTGCAGTGCATAGTGTTTGCTTTGTTGTTATTCTCGCATACTTTCGTTAGTATTTTCATTGATCGAATTGTTTTCGTTCGGTATTTTCATTGAATTTATTTTGTATTGTGCACTTTATGTGATTTTATAAAGTTATAAAGCAAGAAAAATCTTTACTTCTGCATTACGTTTCGTAGTTTTCTTTATTTTATCTATTTGTTATGAAACAGGATTCAGAAAATGAGTAACAGCAAAATGAGCAATAAATTAAAGGTGGTTTGTCGACAAATGTAAAAGTGATTCTGTGTTCGCGATTTGCATTGCTTGCAAGCGCATGTAATTGTTAAAACCAGTGCTACTTGGTTGTAGGCCTTACTATTAGTAAATTCGAGTAAATCGGTGTTCCACAACCGTAATTGATTTGATTTCACCTCACTCCCAATTGACTTTCTCTATACTTTACTCTTCCTAGATCTCTACAGCTGTACTCCACTGTTACCGAAGTAAAGTTCAAGTAAATCTCAATGAAGGTACACTTTATGTGCTAAACCAACAACTCTTGGTGGTATAAAAGGCCAGAACCGATTGAAACATGTTGACCACACACGATGTGAAGCAACAAAATTCGACAAACCAGTTTCATATTTATCAGTGGGGCCACGGAAGTCTTATTCATGCAGTCCAGGAATGCCTTATTAATAGCTTATCTCACCTTTTTTACCTTTAATGTGCAATATATTTTGGATTCCCACTATTGCCATCTTAATGAATAGTGAGCATGAAGTAAACAACAACATATAAATTATGAAATGGTTAATAACATAGGCATCGAAAATCACAAGCCAACAGTTGTCAATGCCGGTCCCAAGCCCACGGAGATGACGTGAATTGAATCAGGAATGAGAAAGTTAATATCTAAACAGATGGGGTAAACCTTCGGAGTATAGCTCAAAAAAGATCGTCTGAAGTTAACAAAAGCCGTTTTTAGTGCTTCGATCCGCTAGGTGTCAGCAAAAAATTGAAATTTGGCAGTCTAAGCGTTAAAATAGTGACTGTCAAAGAGAAGGTGCGACTGAAAGAAAGTATGTATTGAAAGCAGATGGACTGGGGTCGAAGTGACGAATGATTCAAACAGGACAAGGAATTGGTGACAAGCAACTTTAAGAGCTTTTGCTGCGGTTAAGCAAAGTTACGTGACATATCGAGCCAACGGTATATTTGAGTGAGAAGATAAAAATAAAACCTCACCTGATAATGCATCGTATATTCACACTAATACGAGAATTTTTACTTCTTTATGCGAGCGACTGATAGATTTAGAGCGTGCAGACAATTCGAACAGTGTGGCACATTGTCGTAATGATTTTGTGTATGATCACGATTAATTTGTGTTCTATTTTATCTTTTACATGGTTTCCGTACTATTTTGAGGCGCACTAATGGGTGAAGAACTCTAGAATTTTGTACAACGGAATGTTTGTGTCTGGTGCGAGAGGGGGGAGATATAGTCCGTCTCTTATATGAACATCTACCTTCCTTAACCTAATCGGCTCTTGTATATCAGTCGATGTATTTCCTAACCAAGAGGACAAGGACTGGATCTTGTGAATGGTCCGCCGCGTGCTCATTTCTTATGTCAGGTCCGTTGCTGAAAAAGTCGGTCTCCACACCCACTGAAGAACAAATCAGTGGAACTGCCAGATCTGGCCAAGGTTTGTCTGGCTGAACCAAGGCAAACTGCCATCCAGACTTAAAATTCAAAGCCTGCTCATCAAAATCACAGTGTTCACGAACATCTACGTAACGATTTTCATCGCAGTCTGAACACAAGGATTAAACAAGCCCGAACCGCCGTTGACGGGGATTGCTCGTCGAAAACTGAATTTAAATTCAGGTTTTCATGAGTAAACATACTGACTAATATCAAATGGATGACGAAGCGATTTCCATTGACACTCGATCGCAATAGCTAAGGAAGCCCATACAACTTTTTAAAGGGTTGAAAATCAGTTATGCAGCTCTGCGATACTTGAGATCCCTTTACAAATCACTTTTCCAATGTGAACCATCATCGCAGTGCATACGAGTTGTCTTCGTGAGGGCTTTTTTACACTGGCCCGGTGTTTGCATTTTTTGCACAATGCACTTACTTGTTTTCGTACTTTGGCCCGGTCCGGGGTGCTTATTGCAAGTAGGAGTGCTTGATAAAAGTCAGCATTTGACGTTTCATTTGTTGCATGTTTTTCATTAATTACAATCCCTCTTTTTTCGTTCGCAAATTGTTTCAGCTGAGGTGGAAATTATTTCAACTCGCTAATGATGATTTGTTTCTCTTCAGTTCAGTGTTTAACAGTTTCGCTTATCATTTCTGTACTTTTCAGACTTGGTGATAATTCATTCACAAGTTTTTTTAAAGTAACAAAATGAGGCTGAAGGCGAAACGTTACGTTCGACGTCGATCTACAGCTGCTAAACGCAACGCAAAATTGCGCGTAAGATTTTTTATAACATTGATTGTTTCAGAAATGGAAAATATGATTCTCGATAGGTTTGCTGAAACAAGCAATGTAAATTTTAATGTGAATAAAGAGCTGATTCTTAATTTATGGATTGAAGAATTTGGACCCTTTCAAAATGTAGCGATTGCTATAACTCATTTCAGCGAACGCGTAAAGAGAAACGTGAAGAAGATGCGGTTGAAAGGAGAGAAATCCAGTTGTTGAACGAGAAGGCAAAGGGTGAGTCCGATGCGAAGAAGCTTGTTGCTGAACCACACTCATTCGTTATTCATCGCGGCAAAGTGGGTCGTTATATACGTCGTCTGGAACTTGACCTACGTTCTGTTATGGAGCCGTTTACTGCTACTAAACTCAGGGTAATCGAAATCCACATCTTTTCCAATTGTTGGGATTTTAGTTGGTTTTACGTGATTATGCTGTAATAAGTATTATCTGACGTGTAGATCCGTCGAACCTGAAATGAAGATTATTCCTCGAACATCGTCGGTTGATATTGATAGTGAAACTCTTTTACCGATTTCATATCTGTGTTTAAGTTTCATAGTGAGTTGTCTGAAAAGGTATAGTATTTATGAGGTTGAAAATTATTTCAGGAATTAAGGCGCAATAATCTAAAAGATTTTTTGGTGAATGGAGCAGTGCTCGGTGTGACGCATTTGATGGTTTTGACAAGAGGTGAACAGTCACTTACACTTCGGATCATCCGTTCACCTCAAGGACCGACCCTGTCATTCAAAAGTACGTCAGAAGGATTGAGTTGCACCTTTCTTAGACCTTTCTCCTGTTTTCTTTCAGATGTCATGGCTTCCGTTTGAAATTGATCAGAATTAATCCAGTTCAGTCGTAAGTGTTTTAGTAATGCGGTATACATTATCACGAGATATCATCACATCACAGCGACGGTCGCTACATTTCCAACGGCAGTTCACGACAGCTCCTCTCGTTGTTATGAATGGTTTTACTGGATGTGCAAAAAAGCATGTACAGTTGACGCAGACCATGTTTCAAAATATGTTCCCGTCTATAAATGTTGATAAGTTTAGTCTTTTAGAGCTTGAGAAATGTTTTTTCGCTTTTCTTTTTATTACGTTTATTATACGGCCTTACTTAATTGCTAGGTTAGACAAATTAATGAAAGATTTTAGGCGATTTATACAATTATATCTAATCAAGTGTATGTGACAGTAAGTAGGAACTAACATTCCGAATGTATTACATGAAGTGTTCTTATAAGTATCAGTTACAGATGAAACTTTCACAAGTTCGTCGATGTGTGATGGTGAATTATGATGCTGAAAATGACTCGATCGATATTCGACATTAGTAAGTGTTGGTTGTGCATTTTCTTTTTTGGCCTTCTGCTTATTTGTTTTTCTCGATCGTGATATTTTGTTGTGGTGCTGTAATTGAGAAATACAGTTTTGATTTTTGGAAATCAGTTGTTCAGTTGATTTTTGTGGATCTCAGCTAGGCATAATATGTTGCCCAGGTTGCGGGGTAATGACCCTTTCCCCTATCAACAGCCAGCTGGAATGCAGATTTTAAGAAAAATGATTTTTAGTCTTCTTTCGCTCTAATGTTCCGACACGTTTTTTTGCAGCAAATTCTTTCACAGAAAACGAAGTAAGCAAACCACCTTTTGCAAATACTTTTTTTTGGCAGTGTCACGCGGTTCATCTTTCAAAATCAACTATAGCTGATGAATATACTGCACACGTTCTTCCATTTCCTTCATTTGGTTCATAATCTCCTTGGACAGTACCATTGTTCGGCACTGTTGCAATTACAATTTCATGATCATCCATTTGCTTGTGAGCAACAACTTGGGCGTCTGATGTATTTCTCTCTTCCTCATTAATTTCGTTCATCTTTCAAAAATCAGTACGTCTTCAGATCACCAAACAAAACGTGATTCTTTGCCATAGTTATCTTTTTCTTCAATTATATTGCCATAGTTGTTTCTTCAATTCGTTCGCAGTATCTTTTTGCATTCGTTACGTTAAGCATTGACATGTAAACTATCCCACAATGTAGCATTCCATCGAATAATCAATCGTATCAGCAAGCAAACAGTACACACTATTGGTGTAGTTTTTGCGCAAATTCATAACTAATAATTATTGTTTCACACGCAGTACACATATCTCATGAAACCTCATCTTGACAATCGTTATATTCATCCACGTATTGCTCTGACTCGAACAAATAAAACACACTTGGTCAAATCCATCAACAAATTTTTCTGCGTTGGCAGTATCAGCACTTAATGTCTCTTCCACTTTTGTCATTTGACGTATTTTATGACGTTTGCAAAACTTTCATTGCCATCTGGGACTAGACAAGAAATTATTTTGTCTACCACAATTGCAGTGAACCAAATATTTAGCTTTTTTCACAACCAGTCACCGACAAGCACTTTTTTGTTGTCCGAGCCAAGTATGAACCGATTGATCCAGTTGTTCAGTATAATCACTTATTTTAACCATTTTACAAGTGGTGCGAAAACCTTCAATGACGTAATGAAATTCTGCACTCTGAGATTGCGTATTTGACCGTTCGGATACTGCATGATAGACTGTACTACAAATTTAATGAGGTTTATTGTATTGCATTCGATCGACTGGAAAGAATATTAATGCGCAAAAAATTATGTGCTGCTGAATGATTTCACGTTTACTTTTGTCTTTATTCTCTTCTTCTTACGTGCCTAATGAATTCTTTTCAACTTTGATCGTAAACCAAACTCCTCTATTTCTTTGGAATTTGCTCATTTCTGGTCATTTTAGCGCAATCAAGGCAGTCCCAACTGGATTGAGTAAAGCAGCTAAGAAACTCGTCCAAGGCAAAATACCAGATCTTTCCAAATACAAGGATATCAGTGATTTCTTCTTGAAGTCAGTTATGAATTTCTTCTTTCTTTTTTACCGTTGACGGTTTTGTTCCATAATCGTCACAAGGATTAAAGTACTCATTTCAGTCCCGGACAGATGAGTGAAAGTGAATTTGAAGGCGAGCAAAAGGAAGTGAAGTTAGCTGAGGATCTTACAACAAGAGGTTGTAAGGCTGGACAACGTACAAATATTAGGTGAGATTTGATGATTGATATAGTCAAGTAAATAAATTTCTAGCGGGGAACTGTAGTATTTCTAGACAATTTTCTTGAAGAAAAGCAGAGGTTTCAGATTAATTGAACTCGGACCTCGTTTGACACTGACTTTAGTGAAAGTCGAGGAAGGTGTTGATGAGGGAGAAGTGCTCTATCATTCCTATATGCAAAAAAGCGCCAAAGAACTAATGAAATTACGTCAAAACCTTCCAAAGAAGAAGTTCGTTTTCAGTTTTTGTTTTGATTTGAAAGTTATTTTCCTATTATTGCTTAAATTATTTCTAAAATTGTAACCCATCAAAAAGTATTGTGTGTCGATGATGAAGAAGTTCGACCTGTTAAACTGTTGAAGGAAACTGAAAGAACGCCAAAGAAAGGAAAACGAGCATCGTGTGATCAGACGTCTGAAGGCCGTAGCGGATCGGAAAGCAGCTGAGGAGGAGGCGATCGAAGAAGAGAAACAAAAGTTGATCAATAAACAAAAAGCAGTAACTGGTGAAGAATATGACGAAAGAGCGAATGAAACTGTTGGACAGGGTCAGAATGAACATGCTACAATAGCGTCACGGTCATCCCATCTACAACAACATTCCCACTCCGGCGAAGGGAATGCAAACAAGACTGTATTAGGCACGAGACATAAGCATACACTCTCATCGGAAACTATCAAACGGAAGCGTTACGAATAGCAGTTCGTATTTTCATTGTCTTATCAGATATCGTTACTTTGTTACCATTATTGTTGTTGTTATTGTTATATTAATATTGCTTCAAACCAGATCGAATATAAAACTGAAAAGCCGCAAAATTCTCATTTTGTTTGATCGCCTAACGGTAGAACGAAAGTCAAAGTGGTGTACTTTTATTAATTCGTAAGAATAAAAATATTTCCTCCAAATTTAAAATATTATAGCATCAGCAAATACATTTGAATAGAAGAACAGAGTGAATAAATTACAATTCTATTAATATTATAATTTGGTGCAAACCCACAAAGATGAATGGAGGAATAAGGAGAGTTCAGCAAATATATATTTAAAGAGGATGATTCGAACGGTACTGATTTTTGTGGTATTGTATCCTAAGGAAACAACGGAACTGAGTGCATAACTGTTGCACCTAGAATCAGAATTAAAACGAAAACAATCTGTGAAATAAATGTCCGCGTGAAACGGTTGCGCTCACGTTGCTAAAGTGCGGGAGAACTGAATCGACCGCGAGAGCAAAGCGAAACGAATGACTATTTAACGTGGAGGGGAATCAGATTGGAATGATTATGAAAATAATAATGGAAGTTGAAGGTAAAATGTTGAGTTCTGGGGCTTGACAGAATCATATAATCAACTAGAAACCGATCGCTCACCAATAAAAATCGATTAACCACATAATTAAACAGAGAATCAATCATATAATTTGGTAACAACGCGAAGTGCTATAATTACAACGCTGCTGTTGCTTCTGATGTATTAGTAAATTTACAATATGTTGAAGAAACATTTTCACAGAATTCAACTTCCCTGAATGTCAGTTCGTCTACAAACCATCACAGGAATGCCGATACGTATGCAGCAAATTCTTGGAACTGTTCAAGGAATTCATTGAGAATCATTAATACAAACAGAATCAACAAATCATAATGACCATTCACCTTATTGTGAAGTATGCAAAATCAAGGCTCCTAGCATCATCAACTGTCGGTTAATCCACAAGGGTTGTTGTTACTCTTATTGTAGTAAGGAAATTGTAGCTGAATTGGATATTTGCAAAAGATGAGAGGGGCGTGCAAATTGATAACTTCAGTCATATAAACAGTTTGTGATCATAAAATGAACAGTAAACCATTAATAGCTGATAACTCGCTAGTTTTCGAACAAGTCTTTTTACCACTATTAAAAATCGTAAAGATGAAACGAACACAAATGATTTCTTTGAAATTATCTCCTACCAGATTAGGTCACCTTTATCTATGGTTACTAACTTGACTGATGATTGCTGGTAATTAGATGACTCACCAAATCGAATTCTCGTTATACAGACTTTATAATATGCACTCATCCATATTAGAACATAAAAGAATATAAAAACACTTTATAATATATCAATGTAAAAATTTAGCACAAGTCTGCTAAGCAATTCAACCAAATGAAATCAGTCACACGTAACACACTTCGCAAAACATTAAATATCTGTGGATATCCACTATTCACACAACGCTAGTACTTAACGATAATGATAAGCGAAATAGAATGATAAACAGAGAATGAAAAGGGATCAGAATTGGGATTCAAAGATACTGACGACGTGAAAGATGTGTTCAGTTGGCTGATAACTGACAGATTGGTAATGATAACGATCACGCAGCTTACAAAAATGTACACATTAATCGGTCATCACTTAAACATGATTGAAAATATTTGAGCGGAGCAGTGAAACTGAAGACATTAACCATCCTCTTTTGGCGGTGTATACCAACCAGATTTTGCATGAATCTGTACAAGTGAACTAAATGATTGTTGTGCTTTTACCATACTGTACTGACCCTTCACGTCGAATTGAATACGAGCCTGAAAGTTGCGTCGTTCGTAAATTCATCGATAAAAAAACTGGATGATTCACGATTGAATAATATAAACACGATCGCTATACATGGTTAAACGGGTCCATCATTATAAATGATTGAATCTGAGGGATCTCATCTCAAGAGGATCAATATTTCTTTCTCGAATATTCAACGAAGGAACAAAAACGTTGGTATGCAAACGTACAGTATGAGTAACAGACGAAAGTTTTGTCGAAATTATAAACTGAAATATTATGAAGAAAAGAATGAATGTTTGAAGAGAGACGAATACAGACCTTTCCCTTAACAAGAGTAGCAGCAATCTGAAGAATAAGAGATTCGACACTGTAGGCACTTGTCCAGCCTTGTTTTGTTAATAACTCCATACAAATTGCACCTCCGCCCAGGACGAAACCATTTGAAATGGTCGGCGATACCAGACGCACGAAGGGTGGCTCGAACCTTAAAGTTTAATTGGATGCAGTCGCGGAGGCAAACTGCTAGATGATTAATAATGAAGATAAAACAAACGGGAAAGTCTCCTTGAAAACGAAATGGAACAAGAGGTAGTCCTGCTTCTCATGCCTCATCATTGTCACCATATCGGCTGCTAAACAACTATCTGGATCAACTCTAAAACATCATCGCATTTTAAATTAAATGATAATCAGAATACTCTATTCCACACCAACAATAAACAATACTCCTTCATGTCACGACATCTCTTCAACCTGACTGATCATATTGAAACAACGAGAAACCTAACAAAGCCACCCAAATGAAACTCAGCTCTGACGACGAAAACTGACTTAAAACTTTCAGCCATTAATTCACTTCCAGATAAAGAATTGAAATATTCAGGCAGAATCTTTCTTTTTGTACTGTTAAAATATTGCTCATAACGGAATTTATGCTTCAAAAGGAGTAACAAAATCAGTGTGATACAAAAATTTTTCATGGAACTTACTTCTTTAGTTTTACATGCCATTCATATAAGCTATCTTTGACAAGTTCGATTGAATACACACCTTAAACAACAATTATTTCATACAAACAAAGAATACTTATATTGAGCACTACTCTCCACTGACGAAAAGCATTCAGCAACATACCATAAACACTGTTTGGTTTACAATTTGGCAATTAGGTGAACTGAGCGTGAAAAATGAACGGAACAATTTGCTCTGATCAATGGTACTTTGGAGAACTGCTGCTCGAAAGAAGTGATCGACTTTTAAATGGCGCATCTCTAATAAATTATATGAGTAAATGAACCTTTTTTGTAATGTTCAGATCGATAGATATCTTTGAGTTCCTTCATTAAACGATCTGTTGCGGTCACTGAACCCGCGACTGTACCCGTAAGATGCTGTTCCCTTTGTGCATGGTTTAACCTGGCCAATACGGCTCGACCTTCAGCCGATACACCCTCGTCGTCTGCTGAATCTCTTCGCGGCTCTTCTTCCATTTCAATCAGTTCCTCATCGCTTTCCATGCCCTCATCTAGTTCATCGGCTGGAGGTCCTATAGAAGGTAGTTCCGTGGGTATGGTAACACTGTAATAGCTGCAGAGACGAGACACAAGTTGATGCATTTGCTGCAGAATATAACATGGTGGTTCAGCTTCGGTTAGTGATTCAAGTATCGTTGTCACAATTGTATCATCACACTCGCTGAACCAGATAGGTGCTGCACGTGGATAATTCTCCTGAATCAATTTAATCGTTTTTGACTAGGCTCACATACGCTTCACAGAGAGTGTGTTGCGAGTAATTTCGAGGACCGACTTTTTTTGAGCCGATCACTGATTTTTTCCGTGCCCGTAATACACTATTATATAACTGATAAAAGAACAACTCCCTTGTCTTAAGCAATCATCAATTTTTAGTCGTAATTGAAATTCTGAAATCTCTATTCAGAAAATAAATACCGAAATGAGAAGCTAGAATGTTTTTCTCCAGATGCAACAAAAGAATCAATAGTAGCTGAATGTCGCAAATTCTACCCACTCTATGCAGCTGATAAAGAGAAAAAATACACAATAAATACTAGTCACTTAATCACTCACACAAAAAGAATAAAATTCGGTGAGTAATGTAAACTGTTGCAGTTTTTTTAAGAGTAATAAAACGCACAGTACTCTTCATATCTCACGAACCAATAATGCATAAAACTAATAGTATACTAAGGAAAGTTTACAATAAATATTTACGAGAATGTTAGCAGTGATATCGATTGATTTGCCTTGCGGATCGATAAATCGTACGGCCACCTCGTCAACCGATGCCGATACTACCTGTAGTAAGACATCGTATTCCATTCATAATCAACTGCGATTGCAATAACAACATCAACATTTGACGTTCCTTTGTTAAGGGTTATCGTTGCTCTGCTTCGTCATTTTGACACTATTTCGAGCAAACCTTCATGACGACACTGCTGCGAAACGTTATTTCGACGATTCACCAACTCACCGAAATATTAAATTAACAAAAGACAACCCAACCTGGAATCGTTCATGATTTTTTGGAAACAACGATTCGAGAGTAGCGACGTCCTCTCTGAGCTTCTGGAGACACGCCATTCCGTCGTCGCATCTGCAACGGATTTCCTCCTACTCTTCCTGACACGTTATCAGCCACCTTCAGGCGTATGCTTCTTCAATGAAAAACTTCCATAGATTTCTTCAAAACGAGTAAAACAAGCGCACAAAACGAGTGAAATTCGTGCGATCAGATCATATATTGCAATCGTCAGCAAAGAACGTTTAAGTTGAATCCTATATGAACATCGTACCGCCCTACTAATTGCTGCAATTGATCAACAAATATTTACCGACATTAGTGGAATCCGACTGATGTTCGATCGAAAAAACCCGGCAAATTTCAGTCAAAATTCCGACATTCGGATTCCGGCTAAAAAGTTCGGAAGTTCGGTCGGATGTTAGAATCCCAAAATGTGAATTCGATCGCATTCCGACCGAAGAATCCCGAATGTGAGAATTCTAAAATGTGAATTCAGTCGAAATCCGACCGAACTGAAATTTGGTTCCGATGCTATCATTGACCTACATCAATTGTTCTCAGTCTTTTTCAGCAAATCGCCAACCTACCCTTCCATCTGCAGCACTATTTTATAATCACTTTGGAGACTGTGAAGAAAGCACAAAAACATCTACCTTCACAATTATTCAGTTTTCAAGACATACCGAATCGCTAAAAAAAATTCTGGAACCCTAAGAGTCGACGACCTTTTTATTAGAGCCTTCTGAAAATTTCCATCTTCTTTTAATAATAATAAAACCACTAGATACCGGCGATAGTTTACCATACCTTGAAGCTTCGATAAAATTTTGCAGAACTTTAAGTTTAAGAATGGAACTAAAAATACGTGAAAATAGTGATTACAGATTGAAAGATCACATCGATAGCCACACCAGTTTGGTAAAAAAAAACTCAAAAGTATTTACACTGATGTCTACATAGGTAAACGATAAGATGAAATAAATTTAACAAGTTTCAGTGTAAAAAGTTCTAAATTGATACGTGATTGCAATTTGCAGACTGATCGAACACCATAACACAAATAATATTAGCTCAATGTTCAAAAAAATACTTCAAATTCGAGATGTAGTCTAAAGCAACTGAACCGTAATGGCTCGCTCGACAACTAGGATGAAGGATGATTCAATATTAGGCCAACTGACCTGAATCAGGAGTGGGTGAACGGTAAATCATCGTCAGGGTTATTGTAATAAACGTAAAAATATGAGCGATGAATCATACTTAAACCATTTCTCGTAACGACTGCTCCCGCTAAGTAATAAAGCCTAAGATTTCGTTCTAGCCTTACATAAATAATGCTCGTCGTGAGCAGTTAGACTTTAATGAGCGATCAGCTAGTTTTCTTGATCAGCGTTTTACATCAGTGGGGAAATATGGCAAAAATAAACTTCATAGGAGTATATCTATATTATAAATTCGGTGCGAAATTGATATGACTCATAAAAATTTATGAACTCTTCATACAATCAATAAAATATATTATAATCAACATACAACTCAGCTTTTACTTCCTTACCTAGATCAATAAACAACTCAACAAATAAACAGTGAAATCTTGTTAACGGATCTCGCCACCAGCGAATTCGCAGGAGTCATATCGGTACACCCTCACACAAATATAAACTCTATCGTCTGATCCGACCCGACCCGATCCGATCCGTCTCGATTCAATCTCATCCATCTGACTATAAGAGATTTATCGAACGCGCAACGCGTAGCCATTACCAGTACGACGATATTTATATATAAATATATAAAGAGAGAATGCTTGTAGAGAGCAGACAACGAAAAGGCTTGTAGAGAGAAGGCAACAACGAATAAACGTGTGGTGCCATTCGATCAATAATATAATAATATCAAAGATTATACGCATACGTATTTTAAACAATATTAGTGATAAGTTATAAAATGCTGTTGTAATGAGTTGATAAATTCAGTAGGATAAGCAAACTGTTGCAGTCCAATCCAAACCTTATCCTCTTAAATAGCTCTCGTTTTATTTCTTGAATTTTACTCCTTTGACGTGTGAACGTTCGGCCACTTGCAAATACGTTTTCCCAACCTGCCTAACCCAGTTGAAATCCAGAGTATTACCTGTGATTTGAATGATATACTCAACCACAACAACTACGAGCCCAAGCCTGTAACTCATAATCTCCGACTTTGTACAAATCAAATGGTTTTGGTCGTCAACATCTGAAGCGAGATGATTACCTCTTTCTCGATGAACCCCGTTAAACATGACACATCTTTGCACGAATCTACTCCACACTGTGGCTATATAACACCACAAAACAACGCATCTAATGATCAGTTTTTTAACGAATTTCAATGATATCACCAATCACTATCAAATAAGGTGAATAATTCTTATCAAATACTATCAAGCGTTCCATTTTCGATGGCTGATTCATTCGCAGATTCCTTCGAAATGAATTTTGATTCTCTATTTACTGTTCATAAGTCTATCTGGTTCAATAAAATATGATTAAACATTCAATGAACGTCATTCTCATCCCATATGAGCGCTTTTCTTAAAACTTTTTCCTACAATAAATAAAGTTTATGAATTAACAGCAATCGGATTAGGGTTTGCAAAATCCCGACGATTTTTCAATCCCGGGATCGATTTTTGATCCCGGGATAATCCCGGGATCGAACAATTATTGAAATATCGATGCGGGACATGTTCAAAAACATATGTTCATTATTTTTCGAACCGATATGTTCATTATTAATCAAAAAGGAGTTAATTCAACAAATTATTGAACAAATTCGAGAAACCAAATTATTTAAATTCAAATTAATATTTCATATAATGTTGCTAATGATCATGTCGTAAGGGCATACTGCATATTCTATGCTAAGGCATCTTGTCATCTCGGGTCTAAGCTAATAACAGTAAACTTGCATGTGAATATGAAATTCTTGATTCTCAAACACTTATTTGCAGTGCTTCAAGTCCATTTTCTCGCAGTATTAACATCAGGTGAATTCTGCCATTTCGGAAATTTCGATTTTTACGAGAAAAATGCATCATTTAAATTTTGAAAAAAATAAACGTTCAGAGTTTATCTAAAAAGTGAAAAAAATCCGCGGTGAATTTTCATCGAACCCTCGAGCACTAACATGTTTGATAATTTCGATCAGAGATCATGGAAATGTACTTGATAGTTAAGCTTAAGATCCTTTTGAATGGAACAATTTACGACAGTGAATTCTCACTATGAGTGAACTCAGTGAGAATTAATTTACCTTTCGATCGGATGAAAATGTTTCCAAATAGCGAAAAAGACTTGAACAGTCTTTAGAACATGCAGTTGAATTAACAAATGGAATATTGAAGCCGAAAAAATCGCGTTGGAGGAAACGACTCAAAATTTCGTTGAAATTTGTTGCTCTTGGTTTTTATCAGAAAATGTGATTATCTCTGTTAGTCTACTTTGAAAGACATCCAGATGAGCGTGATATAAACCAATGAAGAGCAGAATAATCAGTTGAATATTCAATGAAATGTTACGTAAAGGTTCATCGAGCTGTTGTTGATCACGTCATTCGTCCGAATTGCGTCTATTTCCTCAGCTAATCATCAATGATAGAGGGCAAACAACAAAGACGACTGCATATGAATGAGATGGGAATGATTAAGGCTTGCTTCAAGATGAGCATACTATCGAAATTCACGCAAATTGACCTGTTTTATCAAATCCAGAAATCCCGGGATTTTTCAAAACTTAAATCCCGGGATCGGGATCAGAAATGAAATCTCGGAATCCCGGGATCCCGTGCAAACCCTAAATCGGATACTGTACTTTCATTGATATGGTTATGATGAATCATATGAACTGATGTTACTGCTTAATTATTTGTCACATAGTTATTTCTGAACAGTGAAATTCCTCGAAAAATCATTCGTTCATAGTTTCAAAATGATCCGTATAGATCAGTCAGTTCTTGATCTACAATAGATCAGTCAATTCTTGAAAATATATGTAGTTTTTCGATGATCAGTTCTAATCAGTCGACCGCACGACTAATTAACTCTGAGTGAAATCATTTATGGATTGGGATCATGAGAGAAAAATCAGAACTATAGAGAGGTAATGAGGTCATATCGAGAGGTAATGTTCTTTCTGCCTTTGTAGGCGAAATACTGACAAAGTGAGAGTTGAACGTTAGCAAAGAGTAATATGATTGGAATAACGAATGGATGGACGAATGAACAATGCATATAATGTTTACAAAACATGTCACCACTAATATAATAAAGCCTGCCATTTGTATCATCAGATTAATCGTGAGCTATTAAGTTTTGTGATGAGGCATGAGCCAAACGAGAAATTTGATAATGGTCTACAAGGCTGCGGCGCCGATCGATCAAACAGTTGGGCTGAACTTCTTTCAGCTTCGTATTGATATGATTTCACTAATCAACGATAAGGTAAGAGCGCGACGAATTTGAATTGTTCTCCATTTTACACATCTTACTGATTCAACGAATGAATAATCATTTCCATTAATTTATCGTTCATACAGTGTTAAATGCAAGTCTTTTAATGAACTGCCGCAGTTAAGGTTGGGCTAGATATGTTGTTTAAGTATGGAGTGTTAAATGCATCTAGACATAAAACACAAATTTTTGCACACACAAAATATACACTTAAATTTCGCACTTTTCTATCACGGCAATCAGTGTTGGGCGCACTACAGAAGAACGATAGTGTGCTATCGCTATTCCGCTACCGAAAAGAAGTCCGCTTTCACGCTGTCGCTACCGCTATTACAGCCCAAATCGATAGCGGAGCGCTATCGCTATTGCCTACTCTAAAAACCACATTGCACTACTGAATGACTGAAATTTTCGTTGATGAATACGCATTTTTGAAATGAATGTAAGAAACATTATAAAAATAGAATCCATCTCCACATCTGAACCCACTACTACAGATGCTTTTCTTTCTTCGAATCGCTCACAAGAGCTCGGTAGATTCGAATTTAGTGCAGTTTTGAAGCACAAATA